CGCGACTCCGAGAGAACGTACGAACCGCGAGTCAAGGAGGGAGGAGAGGTTGCGAGAACAAGTGGGAGGCAGCCGTAAGACGAAGAGGTCTCTCTTACGCGAGAAGGGGAACGAGACGAAACGACGAAGAGAAAAAGAGACAACGTGAGTGAAAGAGAGAGAGAGAGAACCGAAGGGTTCGGATGCAAGGAGAATCGGAAAGAGTCGAGAACGAACTGGAAGAAAAGAAGACGATAGACGGTGGAGACAGAGAAAGCTCGGGAGTACGAGGGGTTGGCGAAGGGAAGAAAATCGAAGGAGAGAGGAATCGCGAACGGGAAGAGAAAAAGAAACGGGAGGGTATGTCGAGTAGAAGAAAGCAAAAAACGGAAAGGGAAGAGAGAAGAAAGGAACGTGACTGCGAAAAAGGGAAGGAACCGAAACGCGAAACGCGAAACGCTAGGAGGACCGTAAGGGTAGGGCAGTGTGGGGTGGGGCGAGGGAGGTGGTTAGGTTTAGGCGAGGCGAGGGGTGGCGCGGCTTGGCGGGGCGAGGCGAGACGAAGAGTGGCGAGGAATACAGTGGCGCGGTGCGGCGCGGCGAGGCGAGGCGAGAGCAAAGGGTGGCATGGAGGGAGAGGTCGCGAGGAAAAAGAAGAAATCCCCACTCGCAGCGCGTAGATCGGCGGTAGGTTCGAATCGTACTGTCTTGTCGAGATTCGCGTCTGCGTCTGGATGTCTCCGTGTGTTAGTCGCCCCCGGAATCGTCCCGGTCGGCATCGTCGGTGCGCGTCGTCGGTGGCAGAGGTTGCCGGTGGTGGGGAACGCTCGCTCGTCCCGCCACCGATCGAGGGAAGGTTGGAAAGGCGTCGACGGTACCAGGTTACCGTCCAATAGGGAGAACTGCCACCCTGGCGGCTCCGCCAACCGGATAGTCGGTTGCGCGCACAGAACGCCCATCCTCCCCGTTCCTCGAGCTCCCACTGATGTTTTTATTTATTACATCTGTGACTGGGTAGGGAAATACTCCCGACT